TAAACCCGTCCAACACATTCTCAATAAACTACAACCTATACTGGAACAGGATACTACCCTCCGAGAGGCTGTGGGAGACAGACCCATAGTCTCCTATAGACAACTACCTAACCTCAAGATGATTCTTACCAACAACCACAGGACATACCCCACTAACACCAACCCTGGAACAAACCCCGTTACCAGCTTTGTCCATATATTCACTCGGCTGATATCATTATTGGACCTAACCAATTGAGTTGTAAGATCAAGAACACATATTCCTGCTCATCCAGAAATATAATTTATGCTATCATGTGCTGGCAATGTCCATCTGCTATGTACATTGGACAAACGTCTCAGACACTTCGCCAAAGAATCAATGCCCACAAAACAGATATTAGACAGGATCACTGTAGTGGGGTGGAGACCTCCCCCACTACCGGAAGGGAGAAAATACCCTTCTGGAAGCCATTTTGGGTGCAGTAGGCAAGGGCCGGGGCTAGGACTATAAAAAGCCTGGCTGAGAGCTCAGTTGGGGCCCAGCCTCTGAGGGAGACAGAGGCCTGTCCTGAGCTCCCTGACCTGGAGGCTGAGGCCACCCACAGCTGCTTTCCACACGGCCACGGAAGACTGCCCTGCCAGGGCTGCTGAGGCCTGGCCAAGCCAGCCAGCAGAGCTACCCTCTGTCTCAAAGGAACCCGGGGCTCTGCTGGTGCCTGGTGAACCTGAGGACCTGCCTGAGACGGAGGTCCTGCTTAAGCCCCGAGGCCTGGGGACACCCGGAGACCCTAAGGTCCTGCCCAAGCTAGAGGATCTGCAGACTGACAGGGACCCTGAGGGCTTGCCAGAGCCGGTGGATCGGCTCAAACCCCGATGCCGGCCGGGAACCTGGGGCCTTGCGAACCTGCTGGATGTTGCAGGGTTCCAACCCACTGAAGCCTGGATCAGGCCGCCCGGACCCTGCTGGGACGACACTGACCTCGGCTCCCTAGCCTGCTGAAGAAACAGGTACCTGCGAAGGGGGAGACGAGGAGTGGCCCAGGGGGTAGCACGGGCTGAGAGCAGCCCTAGGCCAGCAAGTTGCGGGCTGGAGTCCCTGCTGAGCCAGTAGGGGGGCCCTCCCCCACCCTGCCACCAACCGGGTGGCAGTCTCCCCCTCGCCACTGCTGCAGGTGCGCTACCTGCCCAGCTCCTGAACTAGGAGCTTCTACAAACCTGTGTGTTTGTGGCCACGCCTTGCATTAGGGCCTGGCCGCCATTTGCTGCCCTGCCCTGAGTTAGGGCCGGGCTTTGCTTACTGTGTTGGTTGGCCCACCCTCAGCTAGGGCTGGGCCGGCAGTTTGTGTTTGTTTGCGGCCACGCCTTGCACTAGGGGCTGGCTGCCATTTTTGATTAGCTGCCCCGCCCTGTACCAAGAGCCTGGGCTCAGCTCATTGTGATTAGCTGCCCCGCCCTGTACCAAGGGCCTGGGCTCAGCTTATTGTGCTTTGCCGCCCCGCCCTGCTCGAGGGCCCGGGCTCGCACCCTGTGCTTTGCCACCCCGCCCTGATTGAGGGCCTAGGCTTCCATACGGCGTTTTGGTGCCTGTCCGGGATCCGGAATGGACCTTAAAGGGCCAGGACTAGAACTGTTGCCCTGCCCATAACTGCAAGTTAGAGACTTGAGTATACAGAGAACTTCTTCCCCAGTGGCCCGGACCTGAAGCAAGGCCGGGCCCCTGAACTATTGCCTCTCAGCCCGACCTGAAACTAGGTTGGAAATAGACTCACAGACTCGGACTATTTTAAGGCACAGTAGGGCCGTAGGGTGGACTAGCTGCCCACTGCATTGGGGCGGAAGAACCGCCTCCCAAAGGCCTACCGACCTACAACCAACCAGCCCCCCGGAAGGGGGGGGAAGCGTAGAGGCTGTTGTGGGCACTGCCAGAGGGCAGTGTCTGAAAAGGAGCCCGCCACCTGCCAGCTGAGCTAATTCCCAGAACCGACGGTAGGTGGCACTGTGGCGGACGTGTACCCCGCTACAATCACAAAGAAAAAACAGTTTCTTGCCATTTCAACCAGAAAGGGCATTGTCTCAACAACCTGATTACCTGCATCCTGCTTCAAAGACCTTTTAATGCCTGTGGAGGCAGCTCGTAATAAAACTGCCTCTGGCTACTTGTTGCTTAAACACAACACAGAGTGAAGGCTTGTTTTCTTCCACACACCAGACTTGAAAGAGAATCCTCTGAAATGTTATTCATGCTTAAATTTGACACTTTACACCTAGGTCTTAACAAGGACCCTAATTACCTTACCCATTACAAAGATAGCTTCCCCAATTATCACCTCTAATAACATTAGCTCACAGACATTTACCTCCTCCCCTCATCCCCCTTCTGTTCTGAAATTTGATTTGTCCTTTTCATATGTGTTCATTTTTTTGATTGTATCCTTCGGTGTACATATGGTCGTGCCAATTTTCTTCCACAATTTGATCTGAGGAAGTGGGTCTGGCCCATGAAAGCTCATCACCTAATAAACCATCTTGTTAGTCTTTAAAGTGCTACATAGTCCTATTTTTTTGTTTCAGCTAGAAACATTCAGTAAGATTAATAATTAACACTGCAGCAGTGCAACAACTAAAGAGACTTTTAACTTTTTAGACGACAAAGTTTTTGTTCCTTATGTGGGTCGTCTTTTTCCTATATCGTAGTGTTCTTAAAGTAAATAATCCTAACTTAATACAACAAAGTGGGCAAATAAGTGATTTATCCATTATTCTTATTTTTAAATAAAAGGTAACACTCCTAATTAAATGTTTAATTATTTTGTTTAACTGTTTTGTAAAATGCATTGTCTTAACTTTAAGCTCTTGATATATTTTCTTGTACAGTTATAAGTACAATAAGCATCATTCATCTTCAATTGTAAGTTTGTTTTGTATGTGAATATTTTGTTTTTACTTTTTTGCTCCAGCAAAAATCAATTTTGGACTCTGTTCTATGTTAATATTATGGTTGGTCATAAACACCATAATATCCACTCTGGTATTTTTTCCAAAAAGCATAGAGCTTTTTGTGGCAAAGTTAGCGACGAAGTGTGTGTACATCCAGACTGTAAGTTTCTTTCGGAACAAGCTTTTACAGAAGAGATCTTCCGAAAAAACTTCTTCCGAAAGAGAGCATTCACGCTACCAAAGTGATCTGCTTTTTCAAAAGATAGCGTCCACATTGAATGGACGCTATCTCTCATTTAAGCTGTGACCACCAGGGCACCTGTGCTTTTTCCTCTTTCCTCTTCTTTCGAAAAAACTCCCTCTTCCGCATCCACACACGTCTTTTCCCAAAAAAGCTCTTTCAGAAAAGGCATTCTTCCTCATAGAATGAGGTTTACCAATGTCGGAAAAACCCCTGCATTCTTTCAATTTTCTTTCGGAAGAACGCAATAGCAGTGTGGACGTAAGTGAATTTTTTTCGGAAAAACAGCCGTTTTTAAAAAAAAAAAAACTCTGCAGTCTAGACTCACCCTGTCAGTGTAGATGCTGCTATTAATTATGTTGCCATAAATGGCCTCCCCAGTATCTCAGTACTCCGCATGAACAAACTAGGGATGTTAGGAAGCATGTAATTCGGTAATTGTGTAGCTGACTAATTTTGTCGGTTACACAATTAACTGATAAGTGACTCTTTGTTTAAAGGAGCTTGAGAGCCGGTAGGCAGGCACACTGGCTCAGTCCTGGCTCTCACTTCGTCCCAGCAGCTACTCCCTCTGCAGCTCTGCATTTAAAAGAGCTTGAGAGCTGGCTACGCTGTTACATCCCTAGAAAAAAACTGATCTCATCTGAGTATAAATTTAGGTTATGAGGAGAAAAAAAGTGAAATTCATTATGTTAACCAACTTAAGCTGTTAATGGTACATCCAAAAGACTGGAGACGCCAGAATATCTCAGTGCACTGTCATAAAACCTCCAGTTATTTGGAAAAAGAAAAGATAAGGAGGTTTATAAAAAACAGTCTGGCCAACTACACGTCAGCCTACCATATATGGATTATTGAGTACGCAGTTGACCTTGGAGACATTAGCCAGATCTGGCCTAACTTAATTTGAGCTGATATTATTAAGCATAGTTAGTTTAGCCATATTCCAATGAGGTATATGAATAAATTTGTTCCTGGGGCAACAGCAGATGTATTGTTGTATACTATTTTAACAGAATAATATTCAGGAATGTATGTATGAGACTCAGTAGCTGAGTAAGGGACTCTGCAGTCGGCATCTTTCAAACTAGGAGACACGAATATGTAGAACCTCTAGACCATCCCTGATAGACATTTATCTAACCTACTCTTAAATATCTCCAGAGATGGAGATTCCAGAACCTTCCTAGGCAATTTATTCCAGTGTTTAACCACCCTGACAGGCAGGAAGTTTTTCCTAATGTCCAACCTAAACCTCCCTTGCTGCAGTTTAAGCCCATTGCTTCTTGTTCTATCCTCAGAGAGCAAGGAGAACAATTTTTCTTCCTCCTCCTTGCAACACCCTTTTTAGATACTTGAAAACTCCTATCATGTCTCCTCTGTCTTCTCTTTTCTAAACTAAGTCCATTTCTTTCAGTCTTCCCTCATAGGTCATGTTCTCTAGACCTTTAATCATTCTTGTTGCTCTTCTCTAGACCTCCAATTTTTCCACATCTTTCTTGAAATGTGGTGCCCAGAACTGGACACAATACTCCAACTGAGGCCTAATCAATGCAGAGTAGAGCGGAAAAATGACTTCTAGTGTCTTGCTCACAACACACCTGTTAATGCATCCTAGAATCATGTTTGCATTTTTTGCAACAACGTCATAATGTTGACTCATATTTAGCTTGTGGTCCACTATAACCCCTAGATCCCTTTCTGCCGTACTCCTTCCTAGATAGTCGCTTCCCATTCTGTATGTGTGAAACTGATTGTTCCTTCCTAAGTGGAGCACTTTGCATTTGTCCTTATTAAACTTCCTCCTGTTTACCTCAGGCCATTTCTCCAATTTGTCTAGATCATTTTGAATAACGATCCTTGCAGAGAGGGGAAGAGTGAGAGAGAAGGTGGAGTGAGAGGAGACCAGAGCAGACCTAGGAAGATATAGCAACAACATTGCCAGAGATAAGTAAGTGGGGGGAGGGGGAGAGGATCCCTAAAACGGGGGTTTTACCCCTCCTTCTCCTGTCAGCCTGAGAGACCAGTTGGGAGCTGGAAAGGTCTATTTTTGCAGCCCAGGCTGACCTTGGGACACTGGCCCCGATGACTTTGTGGCTGAGAGACCGGAGCTGGAACCCTGCCAAGCACTACTAGTGCAGGATTGAGATCACCCAAGGAGGGACTGGGCAGGGCACCGGGACCCAAGAGTGGGGTTACCCTATCACAGTATTCTGTCTCATTATCGAAACATTTATGGAGATATTGAACAGAACTGGACCCAGAATTGATCCCTTGGGACCCTACTTATGCGTTCCAGTATGACTGTGAATCATTGATAACTACTCTCTGGGAACAGTTTTCCAACCAGTTAAATGCACCCATCTTACCATAGCTCCATCTAGGTTGTATTTCCTACTCTTTAGAAATTATGTTTGGTTATTTGATTTCTTAAACATTTCTGAAAAAAACTTTGAATTGTAGTCAAACAATTGGCTACAGCTTTTAATCCATATCTGTTTGTTTTTTTGTCTCTTTAGAGGGAAGTTCTGTAGAAACAGTCTGTTACTCTGGCTCCATTCTAAGTAGGCTGCAGGTACTAACGTAATACAAAAAGATAAATTACAGAAATTAGAGAATTTTTCAGGTTCTATTAAGGAGAGAGTGGGCAACCCCGGGGTTAAAACAGCCAGACCCAGTTTCAGTAAAAGTCAGGGGAAGTGTGCACTAGCTCTGTGTGTTCTCCACTAGCTCCCCAATACTGTACTGGTTGTGTGGATAAGCTGTTTTCACTCTCAAGCTGTCAAATCTGCTCCTTCTACCAGCTCCAAGTTAATTTAAAATGCTTCTGAAATTAGCCCAATTACAAGTGAATCTGTATTGAAAGAGAGCACTGCATCAGTATGCTCAGAGCCAGAGCAAACGCCTGGGAGTAAATACATGGATTAAATACATCCAGGCTGGAGTATTTGTATCTTCAGCTAACCTGTAAGAGTAAAACAAAGGCAAATGAATAAGAGAGATATGTGATGTGGTATCTCTTTCAGAGTAATACCTTGATGTGGATGCAGAGAAAGCTGAGGAGGTAGCCAAAAGTGCAGTCCTTCATTCCAAACATTTTATGATACTGTATTTAAATGTCTATACATTTGCATCTGCATTTATTCCTGCCCTGCTCCTACTTGTCTAGCTTGATTCATCCTTGACTTTTCATCCCCCAGGTGAGAACTCAGATTCCAACAAGTCCCAGTTCTCTACCATTTCAATGGAATGAAGGAGCAGCTGCAGTCAAGAGGCTGTTGCTAAGCAACACATTTCAGCTTCCCCATGGATTTGAGTTACCATAGTGACAGCTGGGAGTTCAGATGCGCTAAACCGAGCTGCATAAAAGGAGCTGCCTCTTGAAAAGCAGGGCAGTTCTGTCCTGAAAGAGAGACTTCTAAACGAGCAAAGGCAGATGGAATAATGAGCACAGGACTGTGTATCACAACCTGTACTTGCTATTTATATAGTGCTGAGGGAGAAAATGAGAGAAGATCCCTGCCCAGAGGCGCTTACCAATTTATGCAGATGACATAGCAAGTAAAGATAACGTCCGCACAAGGGCAAGGGGGATTAGTTGAATGGAACAGGTGCTGGGGCCATCGCTCTCGTGGTTTACATTACCAGAATCTGCAAACTAAACGATATCTTCATAACTAATCTATGTGCACATTATTTTGTTACAAATTGTAGCTACCAAAGGAGGCAGTCTTATACGTAGGGTGTGTCTACACAGCACAGTTATTTTGAAATAAACATCAATTATTTCATAACAATGCAAGTATCTACACAGCAATTCTATTCTTCTTCAAGTAGTGTCCCTGTGGGTGCTCCACTGTAGGTGTCGGGCTCGTCCCAGCACCACAGATTGGAGATTTTCAATAGCCGTAGTCAGCTGGACTGCGCATGTGTGGTAGAGTCTCGCGCTGTTCACGCCCTTTGCCTGCTACACATGGTCTGGCTCCCACCAGTTTCTCTCAACTGCCCTCCGTCATAGAGCTATGCTGCTCTCTTCATCCTGTCAGAAGAATTTCAAACAGTTTGTTAGAGTGTTCATCGTTAATTAGTTACTTTAGTCATAGTTATAGTTGTTACAGTTCTAAACGTTGATTTAAAAAAAAAAAGAAGTTTTCTGTTAGTCTTGCACAGGCTTAGGCCATGGCAAGAATGCCTGGATCACCAGGATTCAAAAAACATGATATTTGCTGCAAGGCCATGGTGGCCTTGGACGGGCAGTCTTCGGGTATGCCTAGACTACATGCCTCTGCCGATAGAGGCATGTAAATTAGACTACCCGACATAGTCAATGAAGCGGGTATTTAAATATCCCCGGCTTAATTAAAATAAAAATGGCTGCCACACTATTCAGGCTCAGCTGATCGTTGGCACAGCGAGGCAGTCAAGACGCGGACCGGTCAACAGGGAACACCTTTGTCGACTGCTCCCTTATGCCTTGTGAAACGAGGTTTACAGGAGTGGTCGACAAAGGCATTCCCTGTCGACGATACGCATCTTGACTGCCTCGCTGTGCCAAGGATCAGCTGAACTGGCACAGTGCGACGGCCATCTTTATTTTAATTAAGCCGGGGATATTTAAATCCCCACTTCATTGACTATGTCGGGTAGTCTAATTTACATGTCTCTGTTAGCAGAGGCATGTAATCTAGACGTACCCTTCATGTATACGCTGTTTGGGTAAAAATGTTGGGTAAAAACGTGTGCACTCACAGCCAGGGACCAGAGAGACAGAGAAATGCACCTGAGAATGTTACTTTTCAATAAGGCGCTTCAACCCACCGAGACGTCCCTGGCTGATAAGTAGCGAGCAGTGCCTCAGAAGCGCAGAGCATCTTCCCCAGGGACAGCCCCAGTGAAAAAGATAAGGGCGTCCCCAACACTTTCTTTACCAGCCACTCTGGTCAGTAGAGTTACTCTAAGAGACAAGTTGGGAACGTCTAGCTCCTCCTCTAGCAGCACAAAGGCAGTTACAACGTCAAAACAGAAAAAGGCACCAATCTTGGTGCCAACATCAAAGGCACTGACCCCGGTGCCGACATCAAAGGCTCCTACCCCAGTGCTGATGGCAAGGGCACCAGCATCACCTAAATCCGTCTCGGCACCAGCTGTACGGTTCATCGCAGCACCAACAACATCGGCACCGCTGGCACAGGCTAGTGCAGAACCACCAGTGCATTCATCAGCACCAAAGGATATCGGTGCGTGGCCGGCCCCGAGGAAGGCTACGGCAAAGACAGATGCACAATGCATTTTCCCTTCTCCCTCACCAACCTTTTCTCCAGCACTGTCTCCATCCCCACCAGCACCGAGTTCTCCAGTACTGAGTGTCTGCTTGGAAGACCAGGTTCCGCAATCCTATCCTACCCAGTGGAAATCCCCATCTCCAAGTCACACAATGTGGCACAGGGACCATGGCTATTATGAGAGGTATTTTTCACCTTCATCACCATCTCTCAGTTGTCCTCAGTCACCTTCACTGTCCCCATGCTCAAGGTATTACTCAAGCCATAGGAGTGTAGTCTCCTCCAAATAATCCTCTCCCACACGGTCAGATCATTATTATGATTACCATTCCAGATTATATTATCCATAGCATTGTTGTCAGAGATCGTACTTGCATAGTTGGTCCTCTTGCTGCCACCTCATTCTCTTCCCATCTCGGTAACAGACTGCCACTTACCTTCTATGCCTCCTTAGAGCCCGACTCATCTGTCACACCATTCGGATCCTGAGGAGGGCCAGCTATCAGAGGCGGAGGATCAGCAGCCTGAAGTGTTAACCACTGATCTTTCTTCCTCTTCACTGGATGAAGCAATAATTCCAGAATAAACAGAAGAACTGATGGTTGGTATATTTTGTGTGGACATATTCACTACCTCAAAGAGGCTAAAGCAAACAAAGATACAAGAAATGCTGCAGAATATCATAGATGGGATGGTCCAGGCTTTCACCAATGGGTCATGTTGATATACCTGCTGAAGATTGAACATGCACCTTATTTTATACCCCTTGTCCTGCACACTTGCATGTCCAGTGACCATATGTAGGTTGCCTCATGGCCCCCTGTCCATGAGTGGTATTCTGGGGAATTGTAATTGGGGTTCTGAGTGTTGACATAAGCTCTTGGTGCCTAAATACAGTTTCCAGTATTTCACATTAATGTGTTGACTTCATAGAATCGTAGAACTGGAAGGGACCTCGAGAGGTCATTGAGTCCAATCCCCTGCCCTCACAGCAGGACCAAGCACCTTCTAGACCAGTGGTCACCAACCTTTTTACAACCAAGTTCACTTTTTAAATGACAGACCAAGCCAAGATCTACCGCCCCGCCCCTTCCTTGAAGCCCCGCCCTCTCTATTCTCCTCCTCTCCATCACTTGCTATCCCCAATCCTTATACTGCTGCTTATTTTTTTATTTTTTATTCTCCTGTAGGAAGAGGTTTTTCCAACATTTGGCCTGTCTACATTGGACCAAATGTCAGGAAAAAAACCCCTTCTTTTGGAAGCCACCTTATTCCTTGTGGAAAGAGGAATATAGGGGTGACCAAAAGAGCCTGTTTGCTCTTCCACTAAAAAAGCGGAAGAACAAATGCAACCCTGGATGCAGAAGAGTTTTTCTGGGATATCTCCAGAATCCTGAAAAACTCCTGCAGTCTAGCTGGACCCTTGCTGTGTTGAGACAGGATGTGTAGGCTCTGGGGTGGGAATGAGGGATTTGGGTGTGGGAAGGGGTGAGAGGTGCAAGCTCTGGGAGGAAATCTGGATGCAGGAGGGGGTGGAGAAGGGGACACTGGCTGGGCAGTGTTGGGATACTAAGCAAGTCACAGGCTTGTGGATGTGAGGGTGCAGGAATTTGGGTTGGGGTATGTGAGGGGCTGAGGGCATGAGGTTCCAGTGTTTGATAGGCTCAGATCTAGGGTCTGGGGAAGGGGGAGTGCAGGAATGGTTGTGGCCAGATGGGGGCTTGGCCCCAAGTGGGGGTTTGTTGGCCAGGCTTCATTTTTAAATAAAATTATGCAATATATAAAATTAAAATCACATGTTTATAGTTATGAAATAAATGGTCTGTTTTTAATTCATGCTATTTAAATGTCAAATGAAGCATTTACAATTATACATTTTGTTCTCTGCTATTTTGTAAATCTAAAATCAAGTATTGATAATTATATATTTTTCTTCCAATAACAAAGTCTCAGTGTGACACCTGTGACTGAACGGTATCTGCCAGTGTCTTGAAGTCTGGGTGATAGTCTGAGATTGCTAGTCGTATACAGTCCATCGGATGGGCATCTGTGATCCTGCGCTCAGCCTGGGAAGCTTGCTCCAGCACAGCTGGAGCTAGACGCAGCCTCCCTGGGCTGAGCGCAGGGCATCCGGGCTGGAGGGAAGAGAAGTAGCTGCCCAGCCAGCTGGCCATGGCGCTCAGCCGGGGTGCACCAAGCTCCACCTGGGCAGGCGCAGAGGGGAAGCCGCCCGATCAGCTGGAGCGTGGTTCAGCCTCCTCTGGGCTGAACACCACAGCCAGCAGGCCAGGCAGCTTCTCCTCTGCGCCAGCCCACGTGGAGCGTGGTGCACCCTGGCTGAGCGCCATGGCAAGCTGTCCGGGCAACTGCTTCTCTTCCCTCCAGCCCGGCTGCCCTGCACTCAGCCCAGGGAGGCTGCGCCTAGCTCCAGCTGTGAAAGCCACAGTCAGCTGGCTGGGGTGTTTCAGCCCTCCTGACCTTCCAGCTCCCACCATTCCTCGTAGCTACTCACCTGTGTTGTTGCTCAGTGAGTAGCTGCTCCTCAAATGAGGAAATCTAATGTAAATGTACTGCGCAGGTGCGCAGTTCAGAGAGGGCTCGAGCTACTCTTAGAGCCCCTGAGATCTACCGATAGCTCACGATCTACTGGTTGGTGACCCCAGATCTAGACCATCCCTGATAGATGTGTATCCAACCTGCTCTTAAACATCTCCAGTGCTGGAGATTCCACAACCTCCCTAGGCAATTTATTCTAGTGTTTAACCATCCTGACAGGTAGGAAGTTTTTCCTAATGTCCAACCTAAACCTCCCTTGCTGCAGTTTAAGCCCATTGCTTCCTGTCCTGTCCTCAGAGGCCAAGAAGAATGATTTTCCCCTTCCTCCCTGTGACACCCTTTTAGATACTATACACGGCTCCTTTTTGCACAAAAAAACCCCCCTCTTGTGCAAGAGCCGTTCTGCTTTTTTTCAGTGGCTCTTGCGCAAGAGGGGGGTTTTGCACAAAAAGCAGTGTAGATGGCTCCTTTTTGCACAAAAGCGTCTTGCACAAAAACAGAACTCTTTAATTATGCAAGTGAGGCATGGTGATATTCCACACTTCACCTCATTTGCATATTTTTTTGCGCAAGAGAGGGCAGTGTAGATGTAGCCTTGCTCTCTTAATAAATACTTCACTACATTCCCAAAACTCAGTTCTAATATAATTTATGAAGCCCCTTTTCTCCTCCATAGTTTCCTCTGGGTCTAATGTGGTAGTGAGTGTTAGTGCTCATGATTATAGCATGAGCACTCACGATGGAGATTGTGAGATGGTTTTAAGTGTTGAGCAATTTGGCCTTTATGGGCAGGGGCCCCATTTTGTTGACAGACTTCCTGTTTCCCTTTCTGGTAAGATGTTTTAAAATATGGCTCCCTTGAGGGGTTTTTTTAACAAAACTGCAGTAAGGTTTATTTTTAGACCATGCCTTTCACTCCGGGGAGCAGAGGTATTCTCCTTTCCCTGGGTCTTATATACTTCCAAAGTTTTGAACTCAGCATATTCATCAGCAATTTTTGCTACTTTTAAAATTCTGGAAGGTTTTTTATCGCACCTATTTTTACCTCATCAGTGATTATCCATAATAATTGTTTTGTACTGCCAAATCTAACAGCTTATCAAAGTTACTATCAGCACCTGCTCCAAAAATCTATTTTTCACGTAACTGTAGCTTATGTATATATTCTATGTAGGTTTCGTCAGGCATTTTAAGATTTCTAAACTTTAAATAGTAGCACTCCAGGGTGATTTTAAACCTTTTCAATGTCATTTTTTAAAAGCTCTTGTATATCCTAGCATCCTCCATCTTCATTTCATTAAATACCTGTCTGACTTTTCCAGTCAGCCTAGTTAAGAGGACTGGCATCCATTTATTCTCTGCAATTTTATGGAGAGCACACTGGTCAACGGTGGATAGGAATGACTGAGTGCAGTCAAATTCCTGGTAAACTGGGCAGGCTTTTCCCCATTCCCTGATGTTGAGAGGGGATGCACCCACAGACTAAGAGTGGTTCTTTTACCTGTCCGGGATTTTAAACTGCAATGCACAAGTTTCTTTCTCAGCCACTAGCTGCTCCATGCATCACAAGGAGGATTCCTTCTCCAGCTCAGTTCCGTCATTTTTATTTTATGCTTATGTTGTTGTTCGGCTACTTGCAACATAATAGCTAATATGGGTGGATAATATTTCAGAAGTTATGTACTGACACAGGAAATTATGTTCTTAAAGCCTTGAAAATGAAAACAAGGTGATAGACTTAGTTTCTACATCCAAGGGATTGTAGACAGATCTCTCTCTCTTGACTTTTGGATTGTCTCTCTCACAGCGTAAGCTTTATGCCCAAATAAGACTTTGTCTTTAAAGTGCCATATGAATACGCGTTTTTGCAGATACCGACTGGCATGGCTACCCCTCTGCTATTAATTAAGATTACAAAACCTCCAGGAAGAAGCACACAGCAAGAGGTGCCAGAGTTATGATCAGATGACTGTTTGATGTAATTGGGATTGCAAAGAGACACACTGTCTTTTCTCTCCTCAATGAGAAGATACTCTGTGTTGTACCTTATGAAATTAGTTCCACAGCCAGGCATTGGCAAATACCTTGTTAATTAATATCTCGGTTCTAAAATGTGTAGCGTGCATCTTATGGTTTTATTTTACATTGAACCATTTCTTTCCATTACTTTTGCTTGCTTCTCATATCTCTATACTTAGTGCAAATGTGTGTGTTTATTTATCAATAAAATAGCTAAGTGCTCAGTGATGAGCAGAGACTGTAAGTGAAACAACAAAGCAACAAATCTGTGACTACTGAGAGTATCCAGTGAAACAGGCGAGACGCTGCACAGGAACGCTTAGTGGTAGTGACATTTGAAGCATGCTCATCAATAACCTACAGAAGAACAGGAGTGCTTGTGTTACCCATGTCTGGAGGAGTCAGGGTCCCGGCACGCAAAAGATATGGATGAGACTTCCTCACTGTAAGGACAAGTTGTAGTGAAGTACCTCAAAACTCTGGGTACTCTCAGGAAGCATCACATCTCATCTGTTGTCTCTTGTCTCGTGCTTCAGTTATAAGCCTTCAAACAGGGAGTGTCTTCTATGCTGTGTGTTACCATCGAGCACGATCGGGTCCTGGTCCACAGCCGGGGTCTCTAAGTAATTGCACAACATAAATGATAAAATGTACAAGTACACATTAACACAGTGGTGGGCGTCCTGTGGACTGAGAGACACGTGGCTCATCGAGCTTGTTTGTGTGGCCTGAGACACATTCGTTGCCACGTGCAGGGTTGCCAGATTCTGCTGGTTTCTGTGCATGCCATTTTTATCTGACTGGTATTACTAAAATGATATGACTGTAAAGCAAGGGCACCTGAAGTGGGGTGCATGGTGATTGCACACAACATGGATTGTGAGAGCTGTGCACACCCTTTGCATCCAACCAAAATGCTGTTGTGGTTCAGTTGGCGTACCCTGTAAATTCTGAGTATGCCAGTGCAGTTAGCAAAACTACCCCATCCCAAGGGACCATCGTGGTTTTGACAATCTTGTGGCCCACTGAGATGGGGGAAGGCCACTCACTAGCCTAGATTGACCATCACTGTATTAATATCTCTTCAACACCAACACAAAGCTTCTGATTGCAAAACTAGCAGCATAAGCTAACTGTGGTTATTCAGCATTTTTCTCTTTCCAACTGTGCCCAACGAGCAGAAATTCTTTAATGGCGCATTTGCTCCCAGCAGGGAATTAGAAGGCAAAGTACAGAAATAACCACAATAAAATTACCCTTCTGATTGTCTAATGCCTGTCTTTTCTTCCCCTAGAAGAGATGGCCATGTTTTCTAATTGACAGATGATTCAGACTCTGTCAAAGGAGATACAGTTTAAGCACAGCGCTAGCTCTTGGGGGTGGGAGGGACATGGTACCTCACTTAATGATCCCTCAGGGATGTGGACTATTAATAATTAAAAGAACCACTCCACCTGTCTTCAGCCAACCAGCTCCATTTTCATATTATGTGTAGTTTATTTCCCTCTGGTCCCTGAGGGCAGCATTTAATGCATTGAACACAAGTAGGTCAATAAAATGGAGAAATGATTAGTAAAATTCTGTCCCTCCCACATGAATTTTGTGTAATCCCTGGTCAAAAGAATAAGCATTGCATTGTCACTGTTTTATGTATGTATTCTTTCAGAGGGAATGCTGTGATTCTTCCCTTTTTTATGTTATTTCATCTCTGTCCGTCATGCAGGTGTTTAGCTATTTGGAGAGGTGTCTAGTAGCTTGTTATGACAATTTGGAAGCTCTATTGTGGCTGTAAAGTGTTAGCAAATGTGGAATGGTTCTACTAAATCTGGTTCTTCTGTGTTCTGCAGCTTCCAAGAGTTGTGCCAGAGAGCTGAGCCATTTAAGGGACACAGCCAGCCTTTCCAGATTAACGCAGCACTTCAGCTTACTAGAACTGAAGGAAGTTACAGACCTATTATTTCCAGTCTGTTTACTTTGTGCATTTTACAGCACTTTGGGGACAGTGTGTTTCATGCCCCTCCCTATTTATAGCAAGTTTTTTTAAATCTTGTTTTAAATGTGCGGACGGATGTGACCTCAAAACAGAACTGTGTTGGGAACAGAACAAGATGACAGGAGCAGCAGGGGACCAGACTAAGACAGCAGTCTGAAGTTTGGTCTCGGAGAATTACAATTTGCCTCCATCAACCTTCTACACCAGATAACCCTAATCAAGAAAGTAGAGCAGAGAGTTGCCAAGGATGGATTCCTCAAGGCAAATCTGAACATTTTTTTTTTTTAAATCTCACTAAGAAGGGAAGCCTGTCTGATTGCAAGTAAGGACATGGCACCCAAAACAGGCGGGAATAATAAGGCTGAAGAGCCAAATGGTCACACCAAGATGGACCTCAGGAAGTGATTCTCTTGAGTTGAAGGTTTTGAGAAATTATCAGATGTTTAAGAGTCAAGCAGAAAAGAAAGAAGTTCCTGACTTAGCAGGTTAAGATCCTGTGTTAGAAACTTAAGGAGAAACATTTGAGAGTGTGTATGTGTGCCTATCCATTTGAGTCGAGAGAGACACAAGATTTAACTTCAGTGAGATGATACAGAAGACAGGAGGAGAAAAGGTTAGACGTTAAAGGTCTGCCTGAAAGTGCTGCAGAAGGAAACCCCATCAGGTATGTTAAGCCCATAGCGGCAGTTGTTAAATCTGAACTTGTGAAGGTCGTGAAAGTGGACTAAGCATGTAGGTTTCAATTCCATCAGCTTGTGCCTCATAACAGATCCAAAGATCTGATTGTGAAGTTTCATCTTTGTCAACAAAGATTTAATTATGAAAAACCAGAAAGTTGCCAGAGCTTACAGCAATGGCAGAAGTAAAGCTGAATAAGAGGACTCAGATATCTGAGAAGTAACTTAATCATTAACCAGAAAATATTTGTTAAGAATAAATCGCTGATCACTATGATAATGTTGTAAAGAACATAAGAACGGCCATACTGGATCAGAGCAAAGGTCCATCTAGCCCAGCATCCTGTCTGTGGCCAATCCCAGATGCCTCAAAGGGAGGGAACACAACAGGTAATCGTCACGTGATCCCTCTCCTGTCATCCATTTCCAGACAAAGAGAGGCTAGGCACACCATTCCTACCTATCCTGGCTAATAGCTATTGATGGACCTAACCTGCAGGAATCTATCTAGCTCTTTTCTGATCCCTGTTAAAGTCCTAATCTTCACCACATCCTCTGGCAAGGAGTTCCACAGGTTGACTGTGTGCTTACTGAAGAAAAACTTCCTTTTGTTTGTTTTAAACCTGCTGCCCATTCATTTCATTTGGTGACCCCTAGTTCTCATATTGTGGGAATAAGTAAATAACTTTTCCTTATTCATTTTTTCCATACCCGTCATAGACCTTTGTCATATCCCCCCTTAATTTCCTCTTTTCTAAGAAAGTTGTATTAAGTTTAAATGGAGTGATCATAACTATGATAGCTGGTTCTGTATCTTAAAATATAGAGAAAATAAAAAATAAGGGGGAAGTGGGTGGCTGAGTAGCAGGCTGGGGGATGGAGTGGGATTCTGAGGTGTTCTGTATATCCATCAGTAACTCAAAGGGATCTGATGGTAATTTGTCCCTAATGGTGGGGATAGAGGTATAATAGGTAGCGAGAACTTCTTTATATTGCAAGAGAAGCAGCCCATATACTCGTGGGACTTGAACAGCTAGCTGTTCATGGATCAACAAATTGCAAGAGTTTGGGAACTGATTGTACCGGGAGGGACGTATTTGATTTAAAGTATGTTAGGAAAAGACCTAACCTCATTTAGTTGTGCTGAATCACATTACAAAGATTCAAAGGGGTAGCCACGTTAGTCTATAACTTTAAAAATAAGTAGTCCTGTGGCACCTTAAAGACTAGCAAATGCATATATATCTAGTATCAGGAGCTTTCATGGGCAAAACCCACTTCCTCGGATCAGCTTAAAAGATTGTTATTGATTATATTCATATTACTAGACATGGGGAAGTATAATAGGCCAGGGAAGGCTCTTCTGTCTCTGCAGTGCAGCTGCCAGACATTACATTGTGGGTTTAGTTTTTGCTTTATTATGTCTATGGCCCTACCAAATTCTTGGTCCATTTCACAGCCGCAGGGTTTGAAAGTTGGTACATTTTACATTTTCGGCTATTTGAACCTGCAATTACACAGTATTGTAACCGTGGGGTCTTGACCCAAAAGAAGATTATGGGTGGGGGGATCACAGACCTGTTATAGGGGACTATGGGATTGCCATCCTTACTTCTGTGCTGCCTTCAGAGCTGGAATCTGAAGGCAGCAAACACAGAGCCTCCTGCAGCCATAGGACGTTTCAAGAAGTAAAGGTGGTTCTGATCTCCCCAATGCTGCTTGGAGTGCCCCAGTCGGGCTCCTCGCTGCTAGTCTTGGCCAGCTTGGGAAAGACATTACTTGCCCTTCCTCTCATTGGCTGCTCTTGGGTACCTCTTCCAGCTGCAGGAAGCTCTGCACTCCCTGCCCCACACTCACGTCTTGCCCCCATCAGTCTACAGCTGCAGGGAGAAGGGCCCCTTCCAGATGCAATGATTAGCTTGTTTCAGTAAGATAAAAAAAGGCTGTGTGAACCTAGACAGGATTTATAGACACTTTACAGCAGCAAATAACACTGAAGGTGCTCCAAGCAGCACAGGGAAGCCTCCTTCAGCTGTGGGAACCTCCAGCTGCTTCCCAGTTCCAGAGAGCATCCTGCAACAGGAGGAGGCACCTGGAGGTGGATCTGGTCTCCCCTAGCAGCTATGCAGGATTGGGACAAGTTTGTCCCTCTCCTGCTCAGTCTGAGCTAGGAGCTCCCAGCAGCACAGGTAGATAGGATCCAAACTCCACAAGTCTCTTCTGGCTGCAGGAACCTCAGGCTACTGCTCAGTCCTAGAGAGTGTCCTGCAGCAGAGGGAGTCATACAGAAGTGGGTCTGGACTGGTCTGGCCCTTCTGTGCCCAGCTGGAGCGGTGAGCTCTCTTTACTGAGATGCTCCTAGGAACAAGGAGACATCCGATTTCATGGGGAAGGGCTTATATCATGTTCCATGACGTTTTTCAGGACTGTGAAATTGGTAGGGCCATAATTCTGCCCCAAGCAGGTTCTGGGGAGCTGAGGAGGCAGTATGTTCTGTTCAGCTTCCTGGGGTCATCAGTATCTCCCTGGAGACATTAGTAATGAACCCAGGAAGCTGACTAGCAAATGCCACCTCCTCAGCTGCCCCAGAGCCTGCATGAGCCAGAGCAAAAGCTCAGGTTCTTCATTGGGAAGAGATGCTGTCAGGCTGCAGCTTTTCTTGTGTTGTTCGGGGAGCGGAGACTGTGACTACCTTGGAGTTCCTGGCAACTTGGGAGAGGGCAGGGTTCCTTCAGGCAAGTGGGGACTTGGGCCTCTAGGCAGCTCGGGGTGCTAGCTGCCAGGGGAGGGGCAGTGGCTCAAGGTTCTAGCTATGATTAGGTGTGCTGTGCAGCGGCTCGGGGCTCCAGGGGCAAGGGTCAGGGATGCTGTGGTGGCTCAGGGTGCCAGCTGTGGGCCGGTGAGTTGTGCGGTGGCTCAGGGCACCAGCTGTGGGTAGTGGTGTGGAGGAGGTGGGGTGGCAGCTGAAGGGGGAGGGTGGTGTGGCAGCTTGGGGCTCCAGCTGCCAGGGAGGCTCCACATGGTGCCATACCAGAGGGATCCATGTTGTTATTTACTTGCTGCCGAGAGAACTCTCAATAGGGGAGTGGAATGTCTGTTTGAACTCATGTTCCATATGGACATTTGGCCCCTGTTCCTTGAAGAGATGCTTGCTATTTACACCAGCCTGTCATGGGGTGTCTAGGCATTGCTCACTGGTACTTCCTTTGGGCGATTCTAGGGATTAGCTCCTCCTTGTCCAGCATCCCCTTTCTTCTCTTCCACTGTTGCTGGTGTCCTGCTTTGGGCTATGTCTACACTCTCAGCTTCTTGCTTGAGAAATATGCAAATGAGGCTAAGCGTGGAATATTGCGGATCCTCATTTGCATACCTAATGAGCTGCCATGTTTGCAGAAGAGACTCTTGTGCCAGAAGGAGCTGTCTACACTGCCCCTACTTGTGCAAGAAAACCCCCTCGCACAATGCCATTATTCCTGAAAATAATCAGCATAACAGCATTGCATGAGAGGGTTTTTCTTGAACAAGAAGAGGTGGTGTAAACAGCTCCTTCTGGCGCAAAAGACTCTTCTGCAAAAATGGTGGCTCATTAGGTATGGAAATGAGGCTCCACAATATTCCATGCTTAGCCTCATTTGCATATTTCTTGTGCAAGAAGCCGCGAGTGTAGACATAGCCCTGGAGTTGCAGTGTGGCAGCTTTGTGACTTTCTGGGGAGTCTTTTCAAGGCTCTGCACCACTGCCTGATTAGGTCACTCCCACAGTGACTCGGGCACTTCTGCTTGCTGCTCCTAGCATATGCATTGGATATTAGAGGAACAGGGCAGCCCCTCTACTCAGGGCCCTATAGCAAGCAGTTAAGGTCTGCAGCTACATAGGTCTGGACTACTTTCTGCTGTGCTCCTCCAAGCTTTTCATTCTCCAGCCTTCTTTGTCAGCCCTTCCTCTTAGAGTCCCTCTCTCTTTTTTCAAGGGTTTCTCTCTTGCCCCAGCAAGGAGGACTACAAGCTTTCCCCTACTGACATTGTTCCTATTCTCCTGACATTACAGAAGCACTGCCTATTTCCCAGCTGAGCTTCCTCCTCATTAATGCCCTCCACACAGATCACATCTCCCCCGTTTGCAGCTGATTGGGCTGGGACGGAGAGTTACCATACCACACAGCCTAGAAGCAGCTGCAGAGGCCAGTGTTCCCTCTAATTGCTTGAATCTCAGAGCCAGTATCTCCTCCGTTTGGGGGAGGGGGCCTTAAGATGCAGGTGGGCATGTGCCCAGCCATCTCCTAGCTTTTCAATAGGCACAGAAGCTGGTGAAGTTAAATTTCCCCCTTTTGAATTGCACAGAGGAAGAGATGGAGATATCACTCTTGCCTTTGTTTTCTGCAGTAAGAAAATAGCTTTGTTTAGCATTAATGTAATTTTTTAAAATTTGACCTGAGGATTTCCCTAAAACCAGTAGTAAATAAATTCAAGGCTCTATAAGCGTATGCTCCAATACATCTGTTAGCCTATAAAGTGCTACAGGACTCCTTGTCGCTTTTGATGGTTCTATAAGTTTTCTGTGAATTCAGATATCAAGATAGGACTCTATGATGCACAGAAAACCTTCGTCATTCGTGGTGGCTGCATTCCTGGCACCACCACAAATTATGAAAATCGTGAATAATGGGAGCTCCGGTGAACACTCCATGGCTCCTGAACTTGCTGCAGGGAACTCACTGTGGAGGCTGGGAGCTGTGGTGAGTTCTCCATGGCTCCTGGACCACACCGTACGCCAGGACAGGAGATTCCCCATTAATATGCAGAACCACAAATAGCTTCTGTGAATCATGAGGGTCTCCTGTAGGTGTTAAACCTCTATTTCAGTAAATGAAAACAAATGATTTGTGGGAGAAATATGCAATCATATCCACAGACAAAATGAAGACGAACCAAGGCTATCGTTCTTGTTACAAAATCTTCTTCTAATCATCTGAGATGCAATGTCATCT